ATTCAATTGTTCAAGGCATCTTTTGGGCATTTTTGAGCTGATTACGTAAGAGCTCAGCGCTTTGATGGTTGCTTGACTATCGGACATGATGATAATCTCTTGTCCATGATAGTTTCTCTCGATGTTGAACTGGATACACTTCTCAATGGCGTGAATTTCCGCCTGGAAGATGCTTGGGTATTTTACCAAGCTTTCGGAGTGCTTGGTTCTCGGCCCATACACTCCTATTCCAGTTTCTTCTATGGTTTTGGAACCGTCCGTATACCATTGAATAGCACGTCTTCCGGTTGTAAGCGCGATGGATTCTTGGCTCTATTCTTTCTTGCAGTCCAGCTTTGTGGTTTTGAAGTTTTTCACAAAACTGTACTTCTTTAGCATTTCATCCTGGGGCATTTCCCAGGTATCTTTAGTCCTGAAGCAAGTAGAATTTCGTCTGATTACTTCGTTCCTGATCATTCTATATCATGCCCTTTTTGCCACATTCTCTATCATCAAATGTAGAGGGGTGAGGTTTAAGAACACCTCCATTGCAGCCGTAGGACATGTTCTCATTTCACCAGTAATGCAAATACAGGCTAGTCTTTGTACTTTTGAGATATTAGCTCTCGTAGTAGCTAAACTAGTTCTGTTATTCCAGGCTATAGCCCCGTAAGTGATGATTGGTCTCACTATTGCAGTATACATCCATCGCAGTATGTTTGAGTTACATCCCCATCGTTCACCTGCAATGATTCTGCATACCATTAGGGCTTTTGTGGGCTTATTTACTACTTCCTTCTCATGTGTGTTCCACAGAAGTTTGTTGTCCAGGGTTAGGCCTAGATATTTGACTTTATTTTTCCATTCTATATCTATCCCGTCTAATTTAACGCTTTTGAGATTAAGTTTTCTTTTCCTTAAAAAGGCTGCTAGTGTTGATTTTGTAGGGCTTATACCAAGTTCCACTTTACGGCATTATCTTCTGTTCTAGTCCTCGTTGGACTATATTACACAGGATATTTCTAAACTTGCCTCTAGCAAATATGAGTATGTCGTTGGCATAACCTTGACAAGGTATGCCGAGGTCAGTCAATCTGCATAGAAGTTTGTCTACGGTTAAGCTCCACATTAGTGGGGATATACCTCCTTCTTGTGGACATCCTCTGGTTGTGTAGATGGAGATGGTGTCCTGCCCTGTATGTTCTCGTAGATAACAGCCGAGCCATCCATCTGGATGTGATGTTATCTGCTTCTCTGTATGCAAGTGTTCTTTTTATAGATTGATGTGGTGTGTTGTCAAAAGCTCCTTTTATAGTATATCTACGCCTTACATGGTTTAATGTCCAAACAGATTATAATAACCCTATCACTCTGTATAGAATCAAACTGTATTTGAAAAAATTTGAATACAACACAAAACGCTTTTTAATATGGAATTATCCAAATAAAATGTTTCTAAAGTAGGCCTTGAAAAAATCACTTATGTACGATCTTTCAGTTCTTCTTCTTTTTAAGTGTCAGTTTGGATTTAATTTAGAGTCGTCCATAGTTATCACGGACTCGTAACTGTCTGTGTCGGTCATGGCCTACTTTAGAAACAGCTTTTATAAAAAAGATTAAAAAAAAATGCAAAAAATAACTTTAATGTTTATAAAGGAAAATTTTGTTGAATAAAAATAAAAAAAACAAAACAATTAGCTACTAATTGAAAACTAAAGTAGCTGAAGAGGGCATTACTCTTGCTTGTAGAAATAGTTAATTGATAAAAACATTTTTAATTTAATTAATCTCTGGTAATTATTAAAAGCTTGACTCTTTGAATAATATTTTTAAATTGGCATTGCTTAAATATTCACTAAAAGCACAAAAATGAATTAAAATAAATTTTTAATTCAATTGATAAAATCGGTAATCTGCATGCAATTTTTTTTTAAACAAGATTTGCTTTTTCTTACTTACGATAGATACTTAAAACCAGTTGTGCAATGTTAATATTAATAAAACACAAATTTCACATAAGAGTTGTTTGACAGATGTAAAAGTACTCCAAACTTTTAAATGCAATTTTCTCAAAATCAAGATTTTTGCTATCTAATTCTGCCAGTGTAGGGACAATATATGCCTTGTTATTTTAAAGATCTTATGCTTATCCTCCCGAACCAGGACTAAATAGGCCAATAGCCCCGGACATAAGCTTTTGGAGACGGAAATTTTTATTGAGGTTAATTTTTTTTGTTATTATTAGTTATTTAGTTTTAGTTATTTTTAATCCAAATATTTTCATGGCAGAATAACCGAATAACCTGTTCTAAATGAAATAGAAAATATATGTATGCGTATTTTTGTTTTAGAGTTTGGTAATAAACATGTGTGTTCTTAAAATTTTCCCAGCTAGGAAAATAAATAAATAAGTTATTTTGCTTTTTGTTTACTACTTATAAAGTTTATGTTCATACAGGTTTTTTTTAATTTGATAAGAATTTTATGTTTTTGTTTAACGTAATGGTAACAAATTGATTTTTTCTAGTTCTGACACTTTTGTATAATTTTATCGGTGAAATTTCTAATGAAAAGGGGCGCATTATTTTTAATAGTCGACAGGCACCGAATATTTTATGATGGCCCAGTCCCGAACACTCTGTATGTAGGTACCACGTGACTTATTGTGCGCACCTATAATGAGCTATATGCAGTTCTACTGTCTGGATAATACATCCGACCAACTGATTGGTCGTTTACTGATCAATCAATACGTTGAGGTACAAAGAGAAATAGTAATGAGGTAATAAATCCGAATATAATGGTCATCGGCAACGACGACCCGTCAGCTAAAACGAGTACAGCTGGTAAATAAAACCCTGCCATGCATCAGACGAGTTTTTTAATCATTCTGCCAACGATATATGTGCGTTTAAAATGAGTGTATTATATAGGGTGGGGCAATTATTTCCGGTCGGAGCATAGCAGCTGAACTAGAAGAGTTAGAAAAAAGTTTAAATTTAGTATTATACGACACCGTAAAAGCTGAAAATTACTAGTTCATAAAAGCAGGCACAAAACATTTAATGCATTTCAAATTTTCTGTAATTTCTTCTCTAACATGTTAATAAAACAGTAACGTAAATCGAAAACGTCTTTAGTTTAAATAGCCGTAACTTTCTGTTTAGTGTATATTAACACTTTTATCTACATTTTCCGATCAGTCTAAAAATGCATCCGGTCGTCTGTGAGTGCGTCCGATCTGCGGTTTTCACATTACTTGATGCATTCTTCCAACTCTAAACCCTATTAATTTTTAGAATTTTCGGTTCAACTTTAAATATTGTTGTTTAAAATGCGGTACATTTCTTCTGCGGCATAAAAGAAAATACAATTTTAGGAACGGGTACTGATTAGGGTGTTTCATTTTGTAAGTAAAAAAATTAAATGTTAAAGATTTGCAGACTTTGCTTACGTCCCGAGTGTCAGTGATGTAAAAGATATGTATGTAAAATTTCAAGAAGACTGGACAATATTTAGAGGTTGCACAATTTGACCAGTTTTGTAAAAGTATTCAAAAAATACAACGTTTTAATGTTAATACCTTTATTGTTAAAATTATAAATTTAAAACTTTAAACTGCATATTAAGATTATTAGGTAATAGATAGTAAAAACATGTCTTACATTATTCAACTTTGAACGATGCAATCCCTTATTTAGTTCGCTTGGTGACGACTTTTCTATGATGCTCCTCTACCTCAGCAAAAATTGTTTTTGTTATTCTGTTACGTTTCTTTTGCTGCATCAAATAATAACAGTTATAAGTGCCTAGCTCAGCTTAGTGTATGGGGTGGTTCATATACAAATTTAAAGAAAATGATTATTTAACCCGGCGCCAAGTAATTTGAGCGGCGATGGAAAATTTAAAGACAATACTAAATTACTAAACTTACTCTCTTTTGTGAGACTCCTTGTGTAAGGGTAAAAATAAATAATAAGAGGTAGAATTTCAATAAAGCCGAAAAAAATATATATTAACTTTTCTTTAATATTTATAAATATATTAAGATTTTGGGAACCAAAACAAATTTAAACCCCAAAAATAACTCTATCCCAAAACCATTTACACAGTTAATAATGTAGAATAACTAAACTTAAATACTATTTATAGAAAAGAAATAATAATAAAATGATTCCCACAGCGGGGGTACTTATTTTTAAAGGTTCGAATTCCCTCTCAGCCAAATCCACAATAAAAAGCCTCTTGGTATTTTGTTTCAATTACAAAATTCTGTTTGACAGTCCAGTTGTTCTACCAGCAGTTGGAAACAATCATTTATCGTTCTTGAAATCAGAACCGGTACCCAAATAAACGTCTCCTACACAGTTATTCCAAAAATAATTCCTTATTGTAGAGACGTTTTCATCAAATTGTTCAAAACAGCTATCAAAGAAATCCGTCAATCGACGTAAATAGTACAAATGCACAAAATAAATAATTTCAACCAGAAACACTACTAATTTAATATTTGAGAAATTAAATCCGCCTACAGCGATTATTGGAAAATTTCCTCAAAATATATATCACTGTTATTAACCAGAGCTTTGAAATCAAAAATCCCACCGATTCATCTACAAATTTGCGTTAGACCCACGAGAATTTAATTTCGCGAGCTAAACAAAAAACACCGCTGGCTTTTTACCGATACTGTCGTATGGTACAAGGTATTTAAAATTGTTGAATACAGTATGAGTCAATATGGATAATTTATTTGGGATAATTTATTTTAAAATAATAAAACTATAATAATACTTTGGTAGAACCATTGAATGTAAACGTTATTTATTTCATCTCTGACCGATTCGTTAAATTTCTTTACTAAAGCAATTTCTCTTTCTGCTGCGGTATCATTCACTACCTTAAGAGCGTCCACTTGACTTCTTAGAGAATCACTGCAATATTATGTCACGTTATGGATCCCAAATAATTCAAAGAAGATTTTTGTTTTACTAGTGATGAAATGGCTCAGGTCTTTTCCTTCAAAAACTAAGTTTTTCATCGTCTAATCGTTTCATTTCCTTTTTATTTTGAGGTTTGGTTTCTAAATGTTTCATCATATTTTCCTTTTCAATCTGACTAATACGTTCATTCAGAAAAGCTAATCCTACGATTGTTTCTGACAGATATCGCAGGTGTTTCTTAGCAACAGTAAGAGCATTTTTTTTGACGTATACACCTGGATAAATATTCAGAAGCTGTAGCATATCCAAATCATTTTTTGGAGCCCACCGACTTACAATTACTTTGTGCTAAAAACCAACATATATGAGGCTGACAAAATGTGCATCCCTTTTCATTTCTTTCAATTCTCGTTGAGTCATATTCAACTGTTTAGTGAAGAGAACAATTTTAAGTGCATAAATTGCTTTTGCTATCCACCTTGTTTGATGCAGAGCTCCTGGGATCCTGAAACTGAATTCGTCTTGAGACCAACTTCCTAGGTACAAAGGTGATAGTTGTAATAACTCTTTGTAGTCTTTTCTTGGATGACTTCCGTCTTTTAGGAAATTTTGTATGTAGTTAATCATTTTCACTCGTTGTTCTTCTATAAAGTCTTGAACTGGACGTTCCTCATTCAGCATTGTCGTATATGACTTTTTATCAAGTGAAGCTTACATATTTTGGAACTTTCGAAAGATCTGGATATCAGGACCACTTGATGGTATGTTACAACACTCCTCAAACACTCCGTTTAATATTAGTTCATGAGTGTGATGTTGGCAATCCAACCACAAAAATGTTCGTCCTAATTCCCTTTCAATTCTGGTACGTGCCCCTTGGATCAGTCCGGTATTAGACAATGTAGTATCAAAAGACATACCGATGATATTGTCACTTAGTTCAAATCGATGCACTTCCCGAATAACTACTTTAGCCATCTACTCACCGGTGTCTCTCTGGACAAAAGGTACTCCAAGCAAATGGTTAAAATATTTGCCAGTCACTAAAACTGCAACTCTGTCTTTCAAAGTTTTGACATGCCCATGGGCAACTGAAGGAAAAAATTTACTATCCCATGCAAGACCAAAGAAGTAGGATTTTCAAAAAGCGTCTTCTCCATTTTCATTGCCATTTTTCTTCTATTGACCACCAGAGCTCGGTAAACGATGGGTGGAAATACGAAAATTTTTGAAACATCATGGCCAAGGCTCTTTGCAGTTGCTATAAAAGAGGTACTTGCTTGCCTAATAGAGAGTTGTTCTCGATCCCAAGTAGACGTTAGTGTTTGATCCAAAGGTTTTAATTAAGGGCTTGAACGTAATTTTTTCTTTGCTGGAGGCAAAAATTTGTCCTCTTCGTCACTAGATGCGAATGATAACGAAGTTGAGTCTTCCAGTATTGCTGTCTTATTTATTTGAGCTATAGCTCTGTAATGTTTATTCTTGTATAAATCATTTTTGTCTTATTTTGTACATTTAGTTCTTATTTCGTCTTGCCTACGCCAGTTATTGATGAACTCATTTAGTCTTCTCTTTGTGATCTATGAAATGCTTTATCTTCTTCCATCACATTTTTTCGGGAAATGTCAAATATTTCGACAAGATTCCAAATCTGCCGTTTCATGTTAGCTTTATCGGTGTTTCTAGATTTCTCATTACCTAGATTTTGAAATTCTTTGTATATCTTCTGTATACCAGCGCGTATATTCTCGTCTGTCTTAACAAGGATACCTGCTTTCCTCCACACTTCCTGTAGTTTAGTACTGGTAGATTTAGCAGCTTCCGAAAGTGTTTCTTTCATATCCTTATGATGGTAAATAAAAACTAAGATAACTTGTTCCTTTGAAGGGAGCCGAGCTCCTAAAAACTCACCACTAGGCACTTTTTCTAGCAATCCATTTTAAAGCTGAATTACCTGCAAAATATGAAAGAAATACATGTAAAGATCAAATATCACTAGTACAAAACATGTCAATATTAGACATTTCACCAGTTTGTGATAAAAGTGATCAATGTGTGCAACTCCTAAATATTATCCAATCTTCTTGAAATTTGGCATATATTTTTTTTATCACTTAGCAAAGTCGTATGAAAATAACATCTTTGGAAAAATGAAACACCCACTGAATAGCCATGCCACCTGCCCATCAACATTCATTTTTTCTATATTACTGTCATTCTTAAATTATTTAACTTCACTATATAAAGTTTTTTTTAATGGTTTTAAACGGTGTATTTCGAACGTAACATCGTCGGGGTTCCGATAGGGTGGATCCCTTCTTTCGAATTCAAATTTATTTGTTTAAATGTGAAAATACATTACTTTATAATGAAAATACAATTATCTAAAGACATCTGATTCAAACCTAGGAATTTCTCTCTGTTTTATTATACTTAATCAGTTGGCTTTTCCCTGTAATTTTTTTTATAAACAAATGTTGAATACTATACAGTATGTCGCTAATGTATGGAATAAATTCATTATTTCTAAAATAATCGACTTTTGAAAAAAATCCAAAAACAGGTCAATTTTAATTTTTGAATCGTCATCACATGATGTAGATGTAACGAACATTACGTCACCAATATTACCATGGTGACGTAATCGACAATTTTTTTAAATGCAACCATGTGTCTCAAAACACCTCATTGGAAAGGTCTTCTAATCGTCTTTACAACGATGTAATTATTTGAATATTTATTTCTACAGGGTCGACCAAAACAGTTTTGGTCGACCCTGTAGAAATAAATATTCAAATAATTACATCGTTGTAAAGACGATTAGAAGACCTTTCCAATGAGGTGTTTTGAGACATAATTCGGCGTGGAATTTTCTTACCGAATACCACGCGAGGTCAAATTAATATCAGGAAATTTTTTGACCTCTAGTGGTATTACTAGTGATAATTTTCAGTGGGTTTTACAAAAAAAAAACGGTACAACCCAAAAGGATTGTTTTTATCACACTAAGACGATTGAGTACTCCGCTTTGTGAGATATGCCCATTACATCCACTTTTGTTGCACAAACTATTTTATTTCAATTTTAAAAATTTTTATTTTGATTATTTGCCTGAGGTATATCGGAATTATGTCTACAAATTTTGGCCCAAAGAATGATAATAACTTTTGACTGAGTGATTTTTTCAAAAATTGAACAAGAATCTCCATACTAGCTACTAAGCATGTCAAGAGGAGATTTTTGTGATTGAAATTTTCAGCATTGCAATATTGCTGATGTCATTCTAATACCTCGTAATAACCTTCACTTTTGCATAAATTAGATTTTTTTCATCAATCTGTTACAATTGCCGGTATGTATCATTACTGAAAACAACAAAAATGTTTAAAACTAAATAAATTAAACTTTTATAATGCCTCATATACAAATTTTGTATTGTATTGTATTCGGCTTACCCTCTGTTTTTATGAGGTATTATAATGATACCAGCGATATATTCTTATTATTCATTGATAAAGCAAAAAGCAATTTAACGTATATGTTCGATTCATCATAATTTTTAAAATAGCGTTGTCTCTAAAATTTTAATTTTAGTTTTAAAAACTGGCGATGACGCCATATCTCGAATAGTGAGGACATCATAAAAAATATACATAAAACAAAAAATACAGACTTTAAAAATAAAATCAAGCTATTCCATAACTTTTTATGACGTCATCACGTTTCGACATATTATAACGTCAACAACCGTTTTTTTAATGGCAGCAACCCTTTTTTGATGCTATCAATTTAAAGCGCACATCTTTTGGGTAATATGTTACATAACAATACTAAAAAGTTTCGTTAAAAAAAGATATGACCTAATTTAATCATCAGGAATCGCATATGTGGAATTTGCTTAACAAAATATAAAATAATAAATAAACTAATAATTCTGGTCTAAAGTTATGCCTCTTTGCCAATTTTGATAACTATGAATATGTGAAATTATTATCAAAAAACGAAAAAATAATATTTTTCCACAACAAAATTTTATTATGGCTTGTTTGGTCCAATCCGCAAATTTTTGTCTAAATAACCTGCGCTTACTCTATGTTCCAATAGTTTTAAATTACCCTGTATAAAAAATAAGTTATTAAAAATGTGCCAACCATCTCCTGTATCCTTTATCACTGTGAAACAATTTTTAATATAGAAAGAAATGCATCATTTAATCAACGGCGAACAACGAAAACAACAAATTTGTCGTGACTGAAACCATAACCTCAAAATGGCTTTGTATGAGATCGACCAAACGGCTTACTAAAGGAACGGGGCGGAACATGTTCTGAAAAGAAGGGAAAATATTATTTCCCATAAATTTATCGATGTGTTGAATGAAAATGGGAAAAACTGGCCAAATCACGCGTCGTCCGCACTCTAATGCGGGCTTATTACATTTTGGCCGCTTCCTATCTATGTACCACACCAGAACATTGGCACTGTACCAACGCCGGTCTAGTAAATGCACTCACTAGCCTTTTATTCGAGCCAACGATTTCTCCATTTGAATAAATCCACTGATAAATATTAAATAACCCTACTACATTTTACATAACCATCGGCGAGCGCGTTTCGTCACAGTTGTGCACACAGATTTTTCTGCTGGGTTCATTGTTTACAAAAAAAAATACGCTCTAGAAAATATCTACCTTCCTGTTTGTATTTTTTTTATAAAAATTCTACAATAATTGACGAATCATTTGAATTTTTAACATTGTCAGTGTATCATTCCCGATTTGGTAAAAAGGAAAATCACCTCGGTGTAGGTCTGTCCATCTTTTCTGTCAAAGGTGTTTTGCTCAGAGATTATTTGACGTACACAATTGAAATTTTAAACAGTTGTAGTAAGGGCGGAAATAGACAAACCGCGGTTGCTGTCGAGTACACTATGCAGTCACATTTTGGCAAACCACACTTTGGCAAACCTCGCTTATAAAGTAAAACCACAGAGCTAGGATATATATAAATAGAGAGAGAGAGAGCATAAGAAAGACAGACTTATAATTGGTTTTTTGTATTATGTAACATGAATAGCTGGTTAGTTTATTTACTTTGATATATGTATTTGAGCTCAATAACTCTAATAACTTTGAAAAAGAAGTTAGGCTTCACTATATTTAAAGCTTATGCACTTAACTCTAGATTAGTGATAAAAATATAGAAAATTACTAACCACTAACAAATTATACTTAAAAAATGCTTTAGATAAGGTAGGTATCAAATTCTAATTCACATAAGTTTGCACATAATTTAAATTTAAAACTGTTTATTGATTAGATCAATTGCACTTATCTGTGTGGTAAATAAGTTAATATACGGTATGGTAAGTTAAAGGTAAAATCAGGTATTTCTTCCTTCGTCCAAAACTGCAGAGGTACATCAATCCTTAAACATATACCGGTCAGGCAACATCAACCAAGTGATTCGGGATTCTTATTCATAATTCTCATTTGTGACTCCTATTCGTGATTAACACGTGAATGATCTTCAACATAAATGATTCTTATTTCTAATCGAACCTGAATCGTCTAGAGATTGCCATAAGCTAAAAAGGGTTAAAATGTTATGATAGATGAAAGAAAAATTGAAAAGGATTTAGATAAATTGCTTTAACTATTAAATGAATAATTTCACACAGA